ACCCCTTTTTTTTATTTTCTTGTTTATTGTTGTTATTGGCTCAATTCACCCCTTTGCAGTGATTTATTTTATTATCCTTGCTATTTTATTGTTGTTTCGATTCACTTCTTTGCGGTGAACTGACATGCTGGATGACGAATAATGGCTTTCAATGAAAAGTTGACGCCAGAAATGGATTTTTCTTTTTTTTCTGCAGAGTCGAATAACTTGAGAAATTATTATGGGATATCAGGAAATACAAAAATAAAAATATTTCATCTTTAAATTTCGAAATTTTTTATGAAAAATATTACAGAAAAAGTTTTTAGTAGACATTTTATTTATAAATTTCTTTACAAAAAAATTATATTCCTGCTTTGCAAAATATTTTATTTATAGATTTAGTTCACATATATACACACAGACACACATACACAGACAGACACACACACACACATACACATAGATAGCAAATTGTATTATCCGAAAAACGGCATTATCTGACCAGAGAGACAATCCCGTAGGAAGATTTGGTTTCTGTTTAATGACCCTTCAACCACTGTAAGGTTATTTAAGGCCGGATAAAGGTTTTGATTCGTGGATGTTTTGGGTATAGCTTGATGTTGTATGTCAATCAGTGATGGATTGGTTAGTTGTAGAAAGTTTTTTTTTTCTTTTTAATCAGTTATGAGAGATGCTGGTTTCTAATACAAGTTATATTCGGTTTCTGATAAAAATTGGTTATTAGAGTTTGTATTTTAACTTTTAGTAGGGATATTTATGAAGTCTGAAGAGTTCTTCTCTTTTCATTCCTTTTTCAAAATATATTAAAATCTTTATGTAGTTTTGTTGGGAGTTTTTATAGTTTTATGTTTTGTTATAAATTTTGATTTCCTTTAAGACGTTAAGGTTATTGTTTGGTTTAGTATTTTGAAAGAGTTCTTTTATTGTTTTCCTGATAAATCTTTTCTCGGGTTTGATTCAGATGATGTCAACTTATTAGTATATGTCTGACTGTAAGACCTGATTGACAACTGTTGCATGATGGGGGAATTTTGTTATTATTATTTTATTTTATTTTTTTTTTGTACATATGATTATGTCCTATTCAGAGTATGGATAAAACTATTTCCTCCCGACTTATTTTTCTGAAATCAGGGAGCCATTCTCCAATAGTTGGTTGAATACCATATAGATTGAGTTGCATATTGCTTGCCATTTTCTTTTGATATGTTCGTTTATTTTATTTCTGATGTCTGTATGGATAACCTTTGTGTTGGTTGTCGTCCAGTTGAGGGAGTCTTTAGCTACAATGTCTGCTATTACATTGTCCGGTATACCAACTTCGAATAGAGGCTAAGCTGACTGGGCTTTCTTATTTAACTATAACAGGATTTATTGCATGCTGTGCAACATCACGGTAGTTTTTCTTCTATTTATGGCAAGCTCCAGATGGGTTCACAATTACCTGTCGTCATTCTGAGTATACTTAGAATAAAGAGAAAAGAAATTACTTTTGACAAGATTCGAAGTTCCAACCAGAATGATTTTTTTCTTCTTTTAACAGAAAACTGTGCACTTCTTCCTGGTGGTTATTTCAGCAACGTTATGCGGATTATTCTTCACTGTTTTCCTCAGTTCGTTCATCGACAAGCATGTGAGTCTTCAACGCTGTTATTTTAATTCCATTGAAAAAATAGCTGATGATAATAAACTTTATTTACATTTTGCATTATGTATAAAGTCAACTGTGTTTGGTTACCCAACTTGTCTGAGAAACAACTTATGAAAAGACGGCTAGATGGCGTCACCAAAAGTAGTATATGAGAAAAGGGCATAGAATTATGACATTTTTTTTTTCTTTCTATTTGTTTGTTTTTTTTTTTTCTTCTTTTTTTGCCACGGAAGACTAGCGTTTCGTTTCCCATGTGGTACTGTTCAGTTCCCAGTGAACCGCGTGTCGGATTAAATGCAATATAGAAAGTATACAGCATAAATGCTTATATATATCAAATAATTCTACCAATTGCACTATGCTTATATATCAAATAATTCTACAAAACCAACAAAGAACTTTCTCAAAATGTAAAACATACAATCTTTCATGTGATGTTTGCTCACAGATATGTATGAAAAAGGATATCTCTCCATACACACATTTTCATTTAATCCTTTTGTATTCTTTGTATTAAATTTAATCTCTCACTAATAATCTCTACAATTTTAAAGATAAATACAAAAATCTGAATAAAGAGTAGAATGAAGAAAACTAGCAGCACTAATACGGTTTTGCTACTTGAATTTTCTGAAGAATCATAATTCTTATATTAATGATTGAATAAGCTTCTTGTCTATTTTACGACTAAAAACACTTGTGGAAATTCCACTACTGCATCGTTAAAATATTTGAGCTTAACAACTTTAACAAAATAGTTCAATAACAAACATAAATATTAATGCAGTGGTATTATCTAAATCATTTGATTTTTCCATTTCACTGAAGCAGACGTTAAACACATGTGAGCATTATTGCCTCTTCTCTCTCTCTCTCTCTCTTTATTTCTTTCTCTGAAACCAAACAGCGTCTCTGATATGTCTTTTCCATCTTTCTACTCTAGGGGATTTATAACTCTGTGTAAATAATTATAAAACCCCTAACATTTATATATACAAAAATTCTCGTAAAAACGAGAAACAGCAAGACGTGGAAACAACAAAACGAGTATTATTTATTATGTGGTGTTGGAGAGGCAGTAATACTGAGTAAAATTGTGAGTTTGAGGTCAAATGTAGATCAAATATGGATCGGAATCCGACAGAATAAGATAAAGAATAAGTAAAATATATACACTCTCCCTGGTATGTTTTCTTTTAGATGTATGTAATGAGTGCCCAGATAATTTAGTTGGAAAATACAAGAAATGCCTGGGACTTTCTTGCCTCGAATTTTTGTTGAGTTCTAAGAGATAAATGTTACGATTATGGCCTGAAAAAGGAAAACGAACCGTAATTTTCGTTGACGCACGTGTTGACGCTCTGTCCGTGTTGGTTGCTTGTCCGATAGTGAGAATATTACGTATTTGTGTATGTAGAGAGGAAAAGTGGGGTCGATTCTCAATGCTTTAGAAAAAGTGAATTAATGATAATTATAATTGTTATAATTATTTTATTCTAATTATTTTTGACACTATAATTAATTTTTATTTATTTTCATTTTATGGACACGACAAAGTGACAGTATAATATTTTTTTAATTTATGTACTTTTTATGGACACGACACTTCGTGATCAAAACGGAATAGTCCATTATTTATAAGGTACGACGTAGTGTACGTGCTAACTACGGAAGAAAGGAACAGGCTGAATTATAACATGATATTTACTCTCATAGATTCAAATAACAGTTATAAAAATAATGATATCTTTCGATATGAACAAGATTACTATGAACCTTGTTTTTGTTATGTTCAACAAATATCTAAACCTAAACTCAGAATTCAATTATTTTTATTGGACTAATTTTAATTCTTCATTATGTTGCCGTCGATGCTAATTTTCTAATGTTTGGGCTGATATCTCAAATTCACAATTGCAAAAGTGTATAAATCAGCTTTTTACTACGAATAAAATCTGTTTTATTGAACGTGATCAGAAATGTTTTTGAAGAAAAAGAAGCTTCAAACTTTCCTGGAATTTCTTCTTGGCGCTGCCTCGGCAACATTTCTTTATTGTTTGCCAAAATTAATTTCGGTAAGCGGAGTTTTGAATTTCCAAAACAGAATGCAGATTAAAATAGGATCTATTTCGTATTTACTTAAGATCGTTGGTTTACATCACCCAAAATATCTCTTTCTTTGCTTATCTCGCCATCTTTCCATCATGCGCGGGTGGCACGAAAGTGATTCTAGTAACATTTTTAACCGACTTCTTGCTACTTCATAAGCCCTATCTGCACTCGCCAGATTTAATTCCCGTTGAGCATATAAATGACGTGTTCCAAACATCGTTAAATTTCAACGTCTAGAAGACTCCACGCACACCTGTCGTTATTCAGATAGGAGGAAGGAACTACAGGTACCTCGATTCTTCTGCTTTATATTAACAGTCTACCCAAGAACATTCTCAGATCTTTAGTAAATATATGTAAGAAGATGATACCACACACCTTAAAAAATCTAAAAGGCTACAGTCTGGCAGCTGATCTCTCCTCTCAGCCATCTCTCAAACCCAACGGTGAAAGAGAGACTGACTTGTATCATTCAGTATCTCCAGAATAAAGCTAGTAATGATTTATCACGACCGAGCAGACCCTAAATTTGCTTCAGTCCTGATGAGTGCTTGTATTCTCAATGAGGCTCCTTGCCGCAAAAAAATTATTGGGACTAAAGAACATTCTGGCCCTCAAGTGGAATTTTCATATTCGTACCATCGGGGGAGAATGGTCAGTCCCTTGTATCAATGTAGAAAGTACCTAACACCTACTAGCATGGTATATCTTCACAAGAGTCAGATTAGGCCAAGAATGGAATGTTTATACCCTATCTGGGCTGGTGCTTTTCGCTGCTAGTTCAACAGCGATTACGCAGCCTTGTGGGTGATGAATTCTTTTTCACCCTGCAACCTCTTTTCCCTAGAAAGAATCATTCTTAGTCTCTTCATGCTACCTCGCTGTTTCTATAGCAAATATTCATACGCATTAAATTCCTTAAATCCACCAGTTCAGACCTTCACAGCTCGTTGGTGGGTTGATTGTTTTTGTTTAGTGGCATATAGGTTGAATGCTAATTCCGAAACCTAAATATTTTGTACTCAATTTTATTTATTTATTTACTGAGATAATAATGGTTTTAGTGATACTAGCCTTACTAATTAATCCATAGGTGGGGGAATGAGGTGGATTCATACATTTCCCAGGTGCATTTGCGCGTAATGGAATATAACAAACCCAACGGGAATTGAAACTCAGCTCTCCAATTAACAATTCCGAAACCATTATCCATTGCACCACTCGCACATCCACGCTTACAGCACCAGATATTCCCAAATGGTCACCCATCTAGGTACTGACCAGGCTCGTCGTTGCTTAACTTCGGAGATCGAACGGGAAGCGGTGTTTCAACCTGATGTAGTCGTAAGCGTTCACAGCTAGAACCCGCCATGCTATGTACACTGTGGCGACTCATTTCCATTAGACTTCGTATTCTACCAATTAAGAAAGACGTTTATTCGGACAACTTCTTCCCAAGAACCACTGTTTCATGAAACAGACTCCCAGGAGGATGTTTCCCAAATCATTAGAATCAAGTCTGTCGTCAGATATTATCTACATACAACTTCATTCAATGACCCTCTACCTTGAGTGGTACTTGGGCCTTATAGTAGGTGAATTACAAAATATCCAGGGAATCATGAAATTTTTGTGAGAAATTTGTCAAAAGGTTCCTGCCGAAGTTGAAAAAGACTGAGAAGATATTATTATTCGCCTGGTCATAAAATGTTTGCTTTCATCCTGAATTCCTCATTATCTCGTAATTCTTACTCTCTTCATCTTAAAAATAGTCTCGTGTGGGGTTATGTCATTATTTTTTATACTCTTGGATAAAAAATAAAAGAAGAATTTTGCATGAGACGTCTTTGACTGCCTGTTGTACCAACCTTGCCTCTGTAGTTTGAACGGCATCCTTACAGATGCTGCCAAATGGTCCATTCACCAACCAACATTTCTCATTGGTCACGGGAGATATTACATATCTCTAGGATGACCCTGATGTGGTCCTTGCTTTGTTTGTAATGATCGCTGACATCTTCTTCCTCAGAGCTGTCACTTTGTGAAACTCCCGAAAGGGTGCTTCTCTGACCCTTACAATCTTAACCTATTCAAGTCTAGGGTCAACCATTATCTATCCAACATATTTTCATAATATGCACATCTTCCTCATCATTTTACGCCCTTACAACAATTTCATTCGGTAACCGTCTAGCTTGAGTGGCTCTTGGGTCTTGTATTGGGTGAACATGGTTGTATTAAACAACTAAACGTCAATAACACTGAATCCTTTTCAAAACATCACAGCAAATTGTGTAGAAAAAAAATCTGTGATTTCTTTTGTCCAAATATTATCCAAGCTACAGATAAGTTGGCTGGACCGTTTTCTCATTCAACTGCCATTTTGTTTTTGTTTTGTTTGTTCGTTTGCTTCTCGTTCTCTCTCTCTCTCTTTTTTTATCTGTTTATGTTTCAGAATGGGGCAGTGATTTGTGGCACAGCCGCCGTTGACCTGTGATAACTAGCGAATCTAAACTGCTACAGAAAGAGTTCGTTACACAGATTGGACGCCGGGTAAACGTAATGCTTAGAATTAATTGTTCAGTCATTCTCTCTATTTTTAATAAAAATATTAGTTTATAATTTTTTTAAATGTTTCATTCATATCTGAAAAATTCAATTCATTGTAAAAAAAATAATAATAATAGTAATTTTCTAAGAGAAAATCTTGTCTAAAGACGTTTGTCATATGTTTCATCCTACTAGTAGTAGAAGTTATAATAGATGTCAGAATGTCTTAGTTGAAATGAAGCATTTTCATTAGTAATTCAAAAACAGTTTGTAATAGACAATCTTGCACGAGGACCTTTATCGATATTAATTTTTGACTAGTTTTTCACCACTCAGTTCGTTTTTACATTCTATGACTGTTAGCATTATGAATCAAAACTAATGAACATGCTTCTGACAAGATTCAAATTTACATGAACTTTTCTTTTTCTGTTCGTTTTACGGTGACAGCGCCACAACAGTTAGGCTACGAAAACTAATCAGAAAGCGTCATTCAAATTTACTGATATTGCTACATTTCTTTTAAAAATTCGGACAAGTACAGAAGATAGTGAAGGATAGCGAGAAGAAAGGACTAAACATCAACTGCAAGAAGACAGCGTGCATGGTCGTTAGCAAAAGGATGAGACCAATTGCGAATTGCAAATATATATGGGGGTTTCTTCGGGATGGAATTAACAAACGTGTCCGTGACCAAGACGAGCCTAAGAAACACCAGCAAATACAAAAGATTTTGCTCATAAGTTTCGCTCACAAGATCAGAAAATCTCTCTCAATATAATATGCTTTATAATTTTTAAGAAAAATATTTTTTATCGGAGGTTAGTTTTGGGTATGACGATAAACTACATCCGGCAGCAAGACTTCTGGTCGAGAGATTGAAGGTTTTGAGAGACGTGGAACCATCTCTTAATTGCTGTTGTTTCTAGGTTCACCAACTGCAGGTGCAAAATACTTTAAAAAGAAAGCGAAGGCAAATACAATCGACCAGAAACTTTACGGTCAATATTCTTCCCGTACCAAACAGGCTGATGTAGACAAACCTCGAACCCATCAGTAGCTACGTAGTGCAGGCTTAAAAGCCGAAACTGAGGGTTTTATTCTTGAAGCACAGAACTAATGCTTGTTAACTAGAAATTACGAAGCGCATATACTGAAAAACTATGTTAGCCCAAAATGCAGACTCTGCGATAAGTATCCAGATACAATTGACGATCTTGTATCAGGTTGCACAGTATTGGCACCCACTGAATATAAATCCCGGCATGACACAGTGGGTCAGTATCTGCATTGGAAAATATGCAACACTTTTACGGAAAGGAAACTGCAAGAAATTTGTATGAACACCACCCAGACCCGGTTACAGAGATAAGACCTGTAATAATCTTATTCGGTTACAGAGATAAGACCTGTAATAATCTTATTCGGTTACAGAGATAAGACCTGTAATAATCTTATTCGGTTACAGAGATAAGACCTGTAATAATCTTATTCGGTTACAGAGATAAGACCTGTAATAATCTTATTCGGTTACAGAGATAAGACCTGTAATAATCTTATTCGGTTACAGAGATAAGACCTGTAATAATCTTATTCGGTTACAGAGATAAGACCTGTAATAATCTTATGGAATTTTACAATACAGACAGAAAAATCAAAGCTAATCGCCCAGACAAAATGTGTCTTTCTTATTGACATGGCAGTCCCTTCAGACTGCAATGTGTCTTTGAAAATCTTCAAAAGGTTATCAAAATACAAGGACCTTGAAATCGAAATCTCAAAAATCTTGGATTGATTAGAAAAAATTCAAAGAGAATCATTGAAGAGAATCCTGGTAGCCCAATGCCTTAACGAAATACAAAAGATTGTTCTCACGAGTAAAGCTCAAAGCTTAGGAAGGGCTTTATTTATGTTAAATATGTGTGATTTCTTTTTCTTTTTTTTTTTTTCAAAATGCTCAATGGAAAATGTCATCATGTCATTTCTGATCTTAGGTCTTTGGTCGGGACCCGGAAAGAAATGAGTATACACCAAAAATCAAAGGAAATAATAATAATAATAATAATAATAATAATAATCAATAAAGAAGAAGAAAAACTTCCCAGAATGAAAAGCATCTGGTTTGACGCTGATGTGATACAAGGATTATAATGAATTAATAATCAACATTTTCGCGGCGTGATGATAAAGGGAGGTATTTTTCAAAGAGAGGTATTTTTTGAAGGTAACTCAGTCCCACATCTGTTATTTGTTATTGCGTCGATAACTATTTCTATGTACTCAGGAAGGTTGTCAACTTGGAAACAATGGACCATTTTTTAAATCACTTGTTCATCATGGATGATTTAAAACCGTTTGCGAAATATTAGAACCAGATTGATTCCCTATTGAATACAGTCCTAGAATATATTAAGGATGTCGGAATGCGATTTGGGATTTCAAAGTGTATTGTGTTGATTATGAAGGAAGGAAGGCATTTTGTTGTGGTATTGAACGACCATCGAAAGAATTCTTAACGGAAGCAAATGAAAGTGAATACAAAACACCTTGGTTTTCTCAAATTTGATGACATACTACATAGAGATATGAAGGGGAGGGGAGTTGGGGAAACATATCTGAAGAGGCTCAAACTAGTATTCAAATCGAGACTCCACTTTTGGAATCTGATTACAGCAAGCTACCCATGCGCAGTAGCTGTAGTTAGATATAGTGCAACAATTTTAAACGGGACACAGCTCGAAATTACCGAAGCCCTAAGATGCATATTGCATGGTGCACTGGACCCAAAGTCTAACATCGGCAGAATTTACATGAAGAGATCTGATGGAGGGCGAGGTCTGATAAATTTGGTTGACTCTCTCGAAGGTTACCGAGGGGGTCTCTGGCACACTCTACTAGGTGAGCAGTGAAGAACTGTTGCAATATGCAGCTGCACAAACAATGTATTTGATAGAGGTGAAATGGAAGAGAAAGAATTGAAGCCGAGAAAAGCGCGGGAGAAATGTGGCTAATTATTGGACCTGCAGTTGTATGAAGAATTCGAAAAAGCAACGGAAGAATTGAAAGACCATTAATCCTTCCAGTGATAGTGAACTGAAAAAGAGGGACTGAAAGTGTAATCATGACAGCGCAGGCACAAGCCTTACACACGAAAGCCATAACCAGCAGTACTACACAACAGATGTGCCAATACGTAGGATTTATGAAAAGAAACAATGTCACAAAAATAAAGAATGGCTGTAAAATACCGTGGCACAGTGAGTGTACAAAAATGTCATGACTTTTTGCTTTAACTTACACTGCCTCTTGTGCAAAAAATATGGTTACAACGTGTTTAAATATTTGCTTTGACTTCTCCTTTCTTTACTTTCAATCGTACCATTTATTAGACAATCTAATAAATGGTACGATTCAGAGTAATGAAAGGAGGAGGCAAGCCAAATATAGTCTGAGACTATGATTTTCAATCAGAAAGTTCATATTGAACACCGACGACTAGATATAGTCATGTTCAATACAACTGAAAATGAACGCCAAATAACTGGTGCGGACATATCTGCAGACTAAAATATAACAGAACAGCAAATAGAAGACATCAGTAACTTCTCTGAACAGAGATTTCCAGATTGTGGAAAATATCGGAGAAAAAAGTTAAAGTCATTCCAGTAGTTGAAGTTTGAAGAATATGTCGATCAATTTGGCGAATGCTACAAAAATCTACTTTATTGATTATAGCAAGCAAACTTCAAAAAGTACGGTGTGTCTGCGGTCCTTATTGTGACTTGACAGGCCGTATCTTCCCTGGTACACAACGACAGTAGCATGATAGATTCAATATAAAATAATAATAATAATAATAATAATCTCCTTATGACTGCATTCTATGAAACGTTGCACAAACCTCAGAAAAACATCACTCACCAAACAAATGACATTTGGCGAGAAAAGGTTAGACAAGCAATTAGAAAGTACATTGACGAAATAGACTAGCCAATGTAAGAAGATATATTATGAGAAATAACCGATTGACAAATACTGAAATTAAAAAAATAAAAATAACTGCAAGCAGAATAGGTGAATCAACAGAACATGAAAGGGAACCAGAAATGGGCATAAAAAGTACTAAGATCACAAAACCTACAGATCATAATGAAGAAATTGAGATACCCACTGTGAAGATAATGTTGAATGTTTAAAAAAGTTGGAAAGGCGTGATCATGACACATGTTAGTCAGACACAAAATATTGAAACGGAAGAACGAGAACAACTTCCAAAATTATAATCAATAAAAAAAGAAAGCTAAAAACTATTAAAACTTTACAATGCAGCATTCAAATTAATTCTGGATGATGTAGACCAATATTTAAATCTCAACGAAGCAATATATGCATCAGCAATAGAAACAACTAAAACAATTAAAGATCAAAGTAAAAAAGGCAGTCTCACAGACATGAAAATCTACCTTGGAAAAGAAAAATAGAGAAAGAAATTGAACAACTTAGGAGTGAATTATTAGTACTCAATGAACCGGCAAAAGGAACAGATGTAAGGATTAGAAAAGGCAGAAGAGTCAAAAAGAAAATACAAAATTAGGAATGGAAATGAAGTCCTATCGCCTAAAGAAAAAAATAAAGCAAACAGTACAACTGAAGGCTTAATGAATCAGACGCTATGAAAAAAGATCAAGATTCTACAGACAGAACATGATCTTTCAAACTGATGCGAATAAATTTTAGAGAGAAATAAGCAAACTAAAAATTGAAGTGACAATCAGCTCCCCAACAATGGAAGAGGTCATACAGTTCTGGGGAAAATATGGACTTGCTCTAAAGAACATAACAAAGAAGCAAATTGGATTAAGCAAGAGGTAGAATGGATGAAAAGTAAAGGAGAACAAAAATGGGAGGGAATCACAGAAGAGGATGTTGAAAGTGCACTGGAAAAAGCACACAAACGGAAATCTCCAGGAATAGATAAATTTCCTTGGATAATTGAGCTTTTGGCTCTATTATCCAAATACAGCACACAAAACTAGCCAAAGAACATCAAGAAATGGCTAATGATCCTACTAAAATTCCAGCATGGGTAACCAAAGAAATTACCTTCCTTCTACTCAAGAATGGTGACGCAATATCCCAAAAAACTACAGACCTATAACATGTCTTCCCACTACTTACAAACTGTTGACATCTATTCTGAGAAAACAGATATATTCCTTTTTAGAAAAAATCACATACTATCTCTTCAACAATAAGGGTGCAAACGTGGCTCTTACGGATGTAAAAAAAACAATTTATTAATAAGATAATCTTGTAAAAATGTTTCAATACAAAGAAAAATCTCAGTACTGCCTGGATAGATTACCGTAAGGCATTCGATAGTGTACCCATTCCTGGATCTTAAAGTCTCTAAAAGTATACAAGGTATAACCCGTCGTCATCAATTTCACCAAAGTATGTCGATATGGAAAATAACACTTCACCTCAATTATATAAATGGAATCTACAAGTCTGGTGAAATAAACATCAACAGAGGAATACTTCAAGTTGCTCTTTGTCTCCCTTACTATTTTGTATATCCCTAACAGCATTAACCAGGCGGAATATGGCTATAAGAAAGCAAATAAGCCATCTATTTTACATGGTTGACTTAAAGTTTATCCTAGGAATTACAGTGAGCTAGAAAGTCTCCTGAAAACACTAAAATGTTTCAGTGATAACATTGGAATGAAATTCGATTTGGATAAATGTGCTAAAGACACAATTTTAAGAGGATCACTACAACAAACCGCCTCTATTAGCTTAGATCCCGGTGGTAACAATCAAATATTTAGAGCAAGAAGAAGTTTATAAGTACGTCGGGGTAAATGAGAATGAAGGAATTCACCATAAAAAATGAAAGAAATAATTCGAAAAGAGTACTATGGAAGGTTGCGACTGATAATAAGAATTGAACTGAATTTTCAGAGCAGAATTATTACCATTAATAACCCTATCATCCCAGTGATTTAATATAGTTTCAACATCTTCGACTGGACTCTAAATGACATCAGGTCTTATTCAGCTAGAATTGTCATACAAGTCAACAAATATTGGCTTACTAACGTACATGAAAACAACAGGGGACTGGATGATACAATTAGTCATACAACACGAAAACAAAAAGAAAAAACATTCACTCATGAAAGAAGGTTGTAAATACGAACGAGATTCATATTTAGTAGTTTTTGTAGAAAACCAAAACAGAACCCAAGAACAAACTGTTGCAGCAAAAAAGTATGAAAAGGAAAGCCAGGGATAAAGCTCTTGAACAGATGAAACAATGCTGGTAAGACAAACCTCTGCATAACCAATATCCAGAACGAGGCTAATAACCAATATCCAGAACGAGGCTAATGTCGATAAAGTTAACACTCATTGATGGTTACGAGCAACTGGATTAAATGCTAAAACAAAAGGCTTTATTTTTGCAGAAGAAGATCAGAGTCTTTTCACTAGGAACTTTCAGGCAAATATCATACATAATATTGTGGATCCAAAATGCAGGTTCTGTGACAAATATCAGGAAACCATAGACCATCTAATCTCAGGATGTTATGTACTTGCGCCAAATGAATATAAAAATCGTCACGATAGAACGGGACAATATTTACACTGGACAATGTGCAAACACTTTGGAAAAGATGTTAACATACACTGGTAGGAACATCACCCAGCACCGGTTACAGAAATAGAAAACATCACAATTCTATGGGATTACGCCATCTTTACAGGAAGATTGAAATAAATAGGCTGGACATGATTGTCAAAAACCGAAAAGAAAAAACTTGCCTACTTATTAAGATGAATGTAACATAACAGCCAAGTAATTTGAAAAAATATCGAAGTATAAAGACCTGGAAATCAAAATAGAAAAAAATTATAGAAAGTGAAAACAAGAATAGTACCAGTTACAGTAGGTGCGCTTGGAATGATAAAAAAGGAACACAACAACACATGGAAAAAACCCTGGAAATCCCAGCTTAAAAGAGATACAAAAAATTATCTTGATAAATACAGCTCATATGCTAATAAAAAAACTTTGTTCATGTAACACTCGTGATGTTATGAGGGTTAGGAGAACAAATCATGAAATGTAGCCATAACAACACAACACTACCTGCCTTAGGTCTTCTTGCAGACTTGGTAGGTCGTGTGACCATATCAGACATCAAAATATACTAATAATAATAACAATAATAATAATATATTAATATAATATAATAATAAATGTGGCACATGGGGACATCAATAATTCCAGATGTAGTTGGAGCCCTCGGATTGATTGGAAAATGTCCCGATAGCTTCATTGAAGGAATCCCTGGTAGCCCATGCCTTAAAGAAATACAAAAAATTCTACTCAAAAGTACAGCTCATATATTATGAAGCGTTTTATCTATGTAAAATGTGTGTGCGATCTTAGTTTTTTTCTGTTGCTTTTCTTTTTCAAAAAATGCTCAGTGGAAAATGTCATGATGTCATTTCTGACCTTAGATCGCTGGTTGGGACCCGGAAGGGAATGAGTATACAACAGAAATCAAAGGAATTAATAAAATAATAATTTCGTCATTCCAGCGGACGCCAAGTGTAAAACTGGAGTAAAAATTGAAGGATTCCCAGTAGCCCATGCCTTAAAGAAATACAAAAAATTGTATTCTCAAGTACGGCTCACACCTTACGAAGAGCTTTATCTATGTAAAATGTGTGTGATCTTTACTTTTTTTGTGTTTACAAAAATGATTAGTAGAAAATGTCATGAAGCCATTTCTGACCTTAGATCTCTGGTTGGGACCCAGAAGGAAATGTGTATACAACAGAAATCAAAAGAAATAATAATAATAATAATAATACCAGCAGCAACACGATGTCTTTGTGTTGCCAATAAACTAACAAAAAGCGAAAAAATATTAATTATCTTTTTTATATAGTACCCACAAATCAACGCAACAATGTACAAACCTATTTTAAACAGGAACGTCCATTTAAATATCAGCTTGGTAGTTGCTCAATCTACAACATTTCCTACCGGATCTCTCTCTAGAGTTCATCTACTGTTACCATTCGGCGC